ATTGGTCGGACCAAATAATAAATTCGAAATACAATTATTTGAAATTTTGCTAAGTTGCACATATGATTTTCAAACTTTAGGGAAAAAATATGCAATCCTTAGCTTCTTTATATTGTGGATTCTCCAATCAAATTACATATGAAGTGAATTTGTGGCATATCTCAATTTCACTTGCCTATCTAGGCTGGTCCATCTGCAAAAGTACATGGACATGCTTCTTTCTTTTGTCCTTGTTATTTCCTTTGATTAAAAAAAGCAATTTTGTCAGGTCATTGCCAACTTAGCCAATTCATCAAAATACTCCAAAGAGATATATAGTTCGATTGCTAAATTGCCACATGAATTTGGGACGCTAAGCTAAGTACGTGTTGGCATCAGACTACCACTCTCTCTCTATATATACACACACTCAATTATACCTTTTCTTCTTTTATAATCAGAGGTGGACCTAAGGCTAGTTTTTTTAGATTTGTTTGAGCTCATTATTTTTGGCTTGAATATATATGCATATACAAAAGTAAAAATTCCAAATATGTACAATGAATAGATTACATTCATTATGAAAATACTAACTCTAAATTCTAAATTACGTGGATGTCTATTCCACTATGAGTCTATGACACCGCAATAAACAGGCCATCTTTCTTTTCTTTGGATAAATGACGAAATAAATAGTATTCTAAAAGATTACGTACTATGTTGTCCTATGTCGATGCATTGTATTCGGAAGGGACTCAACTAACACCTCAAAAGTTTTTTGTATTTTTATTAAAGAAAACAGCTGTGCATCATCCACAACTCTTGCATCATGTTTTTCCTTTCTTTTTTGTCAATAATCAAGACAATCTAGCGTCATGATTTTCACTCTTTTGTGGAATTGATATTAGTTAAACTTATCGATTATCAAGCTAGTTTTTGTCTTTTGAAAATATAAAAAAAAATCTTAAATAAGGGAATGAAAGAAATTTTTTGAATCACAACCTTTGCTAGAGTCCTACATATATACTAAAAGAAACATTTCCTTACATTTTTTAAGGGGAACAAAATATTTACAGTAGACACTGAAAGAATTAAAAGCGAAATCAATGCACCAATTGAGAATTAATTAGCTTATATGATTTTGAACCCTATGTTATTAATTCCAACCCTTTTCTTATATTTCATATTGTAGAAAGTTTTAGAATTATACATTTTTCTCGTAATTTAGTAATTTTTACGTCTAATAATTAGTCTCAATTAAGAACATATATTCGTTATAGTTATAGTGAATGCTTTTAAAATCGTCCCATTTGAAACCTTCATCTTTAATTTGTTTATGAAACTTGACAGTATATGTTCGATAACTTTGTCGTTGAATTACGCACCATTTTGAAGATTTATCTCTCTTTAAAGATTATGCACTTTTAAAAAATTATTACTGATTACAAAAACAAAAAACAAAAAAAAACAAATATAGTGTCTAACCAAAACGTCATAACAAGAGGAGAAAAAGGGGCTCTTCATGACATGGAATGGCAGCTTAATGAGTCACTTGATGGATATGCAAACCTAAAAACTTGACAGTTATTAAGTTAATATTATTCCTCATGTTTAATGAATAAATAATTTTCTACATTACACAATTGATGTGACAAGAAGGGTAGTTGCATCATCACTGCTACATGACTTAATTTTAAAAGTTTAAAATTTATCTTATTAAGTAGTAACAGGTTCAAACCAAACAAACACATAAAATTAGGTCTCCACTCTGCTGATATGATAAGTGATACAACTCTTTTAAGTTTTAACAATATTAACGGCTTCCCTAATGAATATGCACCAGATTAACATTATATTGTTGATATCACTATTTAAGCACCAAAGCAAAATGGTAAGACAGAAAGTCGTCACTCTTTGAAAGAAACTTACCGTACTGAGTTACCCTTATTAAGAACAGACCGATAGACTCATCAAACATCGCTCTTTGATTAGTGATTGATCCATAAATCCAACTTATTCTCAATCCTTGTGTCCGTGTACTCATCTTGCATACCAATTCAAGAACCAAGATCCCCAAAAAGCAGTTTTATATAGAGGCAGTGACGGAAGCAGGAGTTTTACTAAAAATATTCAAAAAATAAAACAGATAAACACGCGAAAGAACGCCTAATATATGTATAAAATAAAAATTAGTTCCGCCCTGTATAGAAATATAATGAATTATGGATACATGAAGAAAACTCTTCTCAGCTTGCTAGAGAGCATCCTTCCATCTGGACCATGCAAAACCCCATTTTCTTATAAGATAAATGGGGCGGTTCAGCTGAGCTAGGTGGGTTAGCCACGTGGCCCAATAAAACCTGCTAACACATTTAAAGTTGGGCCAAAGATTCTGCCGTTAAATAAAGGTGAGACTTTAACAATAAAAATAACGATAGGGATATTAACGGACCACAAGGCATGATAGAGTGTAATTACAATGTGCAGTCAATATCACGATACACTCAAATATTTAAACTCGATCTTCCATGACTACTAACTCCATTACCCGAAAGAAAGGTCTTGACTGTTTTAGATTAAGATGAGGAATTTACGACATTGACACGAAAAGAAAATTCCGTAATCTTATGAGAAATATATTGTTAGGGAACTCTATTTGTCACATATATAATGCATGCGCGTCTTTATTTTATTGGTCTAAAGTATGGGGCAAGGATAGTAAAATTTCAAAATATTCTGATGCCTTAGAATTTAAGAAAGCATTTAAAAGATTTAATATAATTTAGGGAAAACAAATTTGGACGTTCGTGCTATATGAAAATATCTTCAAATTGTCTGGATTATTTCTTTTCCAGAAACTATAATATTGGCTTCGAGAAAACCAAAAAAAAAAACGAATCGGTGATTTTGTTAGAATGAAATATTAAGAAAATATTATTCAAATGTATAATGTATGCATTCAGTTGTCACTACTCACTATTTTAAAATCAATCAAAAAATCTTTATCGTTGCCACAAAAATTATCTTCGGATAGCAGAAAAATTAAAATCAGATTTAACAAGTAAGATAGGTTTAGAGAAATAATATTGACTTTTTTCGTATTCGAAAACAGCCTTGGCCGTTTCAATCTTTAATGAGGGAATGTTTCCAGAACAAGATTAACTGTAAGTAATTTTATTGGAATCAAATTATTAGGAAAAATTTAGTCCTCGGACATGTAAATGCATGCTTGTCTATATTCTTTGCTTCAAAGTATAACTTGGGCAAAGAAAAGTACAAAATTTAGACAAAAAGAGTTGGATTTATTGGAAGACAACCTGACAACATAATAACATTCCGAATTCGAGCTAGATTTGATGAAATGTGTGATGCAAACACTAGGTTTTAGAGAGAACATAGATGAGTGTGTGGAGAAATAAAATGATATTATTGAGTGATTGATAAGATCTGTACAAGGTAAAAAAATAGATCTCTTTATATTTTTACAATAAAAGAATGGACATATTGAATAATTAAACTAAGTCTAATGGGTCGAAGGGGCTTCAATTGGGCCTGGTCACCCTTATTGGGTCTGTTGAACTCTGTAGTGGGCTGAGACAAATCTGGAACTCCAACAGCCCCCTCAAACTGGAAGGGGAGCCCATTCCAAGCTTGGAAATGAAGCTCTGTTGTTGAACACCTAGCAAAGACTTGGTAAAAACATCAGCAATCTGAGAAGAAGTTGAAGTAGAATGTAAACTGATAAGCTGAGACTTTAAAGCATCCCTAACAAAATGGTAATCGACCTCTATGTGTTTAGTTCGTTCATGGAAGATAGGATTCTTGGCAATGTGGATAGCTGACTGACTATCACAATAAACCTCAACAAGAACCAAATTGCAAGACCAAACTCACTCAACAGTCGAACAACCCAAACAAGCCCGGCAACCAGCAACCTAAAGGCTTTATATTCTGCTTCAGCAGAAGAGAGAGCAATAGTTGGTTGCTTTTTAGATTTTCATGAAATGGGACAACCACTAAGAAACAAAATAAGACCACTGACTGACCATCTGAAATCAGCACAACCGGCCCAGTCAAAGTCACAATAACCTTTGAGATCAAAATCAGAAGAATTAGAGAAAGAAATACCCAAAGTTGGAGTGCCAGCCAAGAACCTGAGAACATGGTATGCAGCAGCCAAATGGGGCAATTTAAGGGCTGACATGAACTGACTTAGGTGTTGAACCGTAAAAGAAATGTCTGGCCTAGTGTGTTATAGGAAATTCAGTTTGCCCACAAGCCGTCTATACAATGAAGGATCAGATAAAAAGTCCCCAACCTCAGAGGACAACTTAATATGAGGATCAAGGGGAGACACCACGGGGGTAACATCTGAACAATGGAACTCTAATAGAAGGTCTTAGAGAAACTTGTGTTGGTTGATCAAGAAACCAGAGGACTGCTTGACAACCTCAAGCCCAAGAAAATAATGTATCTCACCAAGATCTTTGATCTTGAATTGGGCATCCAAAAATCTTTTGAGAGAATATATCTTAGAGAGATTGTCCTCAGACACAAGCATATCATCAACATAAACAATCACCACAGTCAAATAACCATCATAAAGCTTAGTAAACAAAGAGTAATCATTTAAACTAGGCTGGAACCCCTTAGATTGAAGAGCAGCAGATAACTTAGCATACCATTGCCTAGAAACTTGTCTAAGGCCATTAAGAGACTTATGAAGTTTAAAAGCAAGAGTAAAATTATCAGTGGACTGGACAGACAAACCAGGGGGTATCTTCATGTACACCTCTTCGTCCAAATCACCATGCAAAAAAGCATTATTTACAACTAATTGAAAAATAACCTAATTTCTTTTAATAACCACAGTCAACAAACATCTAATTGTAGTCAACTTGACCATAGGAGAAAAAGTCTCAGTGAAATTCACCCCCTCTTATTAATTATCACCCCTAATGTCTAGTCTACCTTTGTATCTTTCAATAGAACTATCTGCCTTTTTTTTTAATCTTATACACCTATTTACAAGGAATAGCTTTTTTTCCTGAAGGAAGAGGCACAATAGACCAAGTATTATTTGCCTCTAAAGCTTGAAATTCCTTCATCATAGCCTCCTGCCAAGCAGGATTTGAAGCAGCCTGATGATAGAATTGAGGCTCAAGCCGGCAACTCTCAGAGGAAGAATAAGGAATAGCCTTAGAATCAGAAACATTGGTGCATACATAATTACTTAGATAAGCCGGAGTTTGAGTTGGTCTACCAGATCTTCTGATAGGCGGAGCAGAAGTAGTAGGGCTGCTAGGAGGAATAAAAGATGGAACATAACTAATGGGAGCTGAAGAAGGAGGAGAAGATGAAGAAGAAGAGACAGAAAAAGGAGAAGTAGTAGGGGAGGAGGGAGCTGAAGGAGGGAACAATTGAGTAGCAGAGGAGTTAGAGTAAGGAAAAATATGTTCATAAAACACTACATCCCTTAAATGAAAAATAGCAGAAGTGGACAAGTTCAGAAATTTATAAGCTTTTTTGCTAGTACTATAACCAATAAAAACAACTGGAACTGTCCTAGACTTGAACTTGTCCCTATAGGGCTTAGGCACAATATCAAAACATAAACAACCAAAAGTATTTAAATGTGTGAAGGAAGGAGAATGTCCATGCAGAAGTTCAAAAGGTGATTTATGTTAAAGTAAAGAAGCGGGGAACCTATTGATGAGATATGTTGCTGTTAAAATACACTTACCCCAATACTTAACAGGCAATTTGGATTGAAAAGGGAGTGTCCTAGCAGTCTCAAGAAGATATTTGTGCTTCCTTTCTACTACATCATTCTGTTGAGGTGTGTGTGGACAAGAAGTTTGATGGATAATGCCTTGAGCAGAAAAAAAAAGAAACAGCTTCAGAACTACTACCCAACTCAAATGCATTATCTGATCTTACAGTTTTAACAGGGGAACCAAACTTAGTATGAACTATATGAATGAAAGATTTCAAAATAGTGAAGGCATTAGCCTTAGAAGACAAAAGGTGAGACCATGTAGCCCTGGTAACGTCATCCACAATAGTCAGAAGATATCTAAAGCCATTGTATGTTTGAGTATGATAGGGACCCCATAAATCTGCATGTATTAATTGAAAAAGACAAGTAGAATGAATGGAACTTTCAGGAAAAGGAAGTCTTTACTGCCTAGCCATAAGACAAATAGGGCAAAGAAAAGTTTGCTTTTGAGGCAATTTACTAGAAAGACAGGGAATATGTTTCATTTTAGTGAAAGGAACATGGCCTAATCTCAAGTGCCACATATGGTCAACAGACAATGTAGAAACAACAGAAACATCAAAACCAGGTAAAACAATATCAGAAGGAGCAGACACAGAAGAACAAGAAGTAAAACTGCTCTTATTCAAATTATTTACACTGGCAGTTATAGTATTTACAGAGAAAAGAGTAGAAGAACCAGAATCACAGAAAGCATTAAATTGAAGAATGTATAGCCCCTTCTGAAGTTTACCAAGAACCAGAGTCTTCTTCATAAAAGGGCCCTGCAACAAAGCACAAAGAGTAGGAGTAAAGAAAGCATTACACTTGAGATGAAGAAGTAATTGATGCAAAAATATCAGATTATGGTGAAAGGAAGGGACCGGTAACACATGAGGAAGAGAAATAGTGACAGAAAGAGAAAGTGATCTAGTACAGGTAACCTTAACCTTATACCCATTTGGGAGAGTTACAAGGTAAGGCAAAGGTAGAGGTGTGATATTAGTAAGTAAAGATTTATGAGGTATCTTATGATTAGTAGCACCAGAGTCAATGATCCACAAACTATCATATACTTTAGAGAAATTGCAAGCATGAGATATATAATTACTAAAATCAACACTACTTATCAAACCTGCAAAATTGACAGAGGCGGCACTAAGGTCCTGAAGAGTGGAAGATTGCTTGGTTAGTTGAAGCAAAGAAACCATTTGTTCATATTGCTCTTTTGACAAAATATTTCCCCCAATATCGAGTGGAACAACCTTAGATCCTTCAGTAACATGATTGTCAGGCGCATTTGCTCGAGATGGATCTGAGACATGAGCATAAGCTGTTGTTCTTTTGAATTTAGAGCTAGAACTAGGGGGATATCCATGTAATTTGTAATATTTATCAATCAAATGCACGAGCTTCTTACAATAGCTGCACACCATATTAGAATTCCCTTTTCCGGAAGCATCAAAATTCACCTTATTAGAAGCATCAAAATTCACCCGGGAAGTATAGGGTTTTTGAACCCCGGTGGAGAAGGAGGATGAGTCAGAACTGAAACTTGGAGTAGCAGGCTGAACCTCTACCTGACTCTCATCCTCAATTAACATAGCATAGACACTATCAATGTCAGGCATCGGCTTCATGATTAAGATATTCCTCCGAACACCAGAATAAGCCTCATTCAAACCCATAAGAAATTGATGCACCTTTTGTTCATCCTCCAACTTCTGAAATGCCTCCTTACATCCACATGTGCATTCTGGGTATGAGATGGAATATGCTAGCTCATCCCAAAGCTTCTTAATGCGATTAAAATAAGAAGTAATGCTTGAAGAACCTTGGGAGATAGAAGCAAGGTCTTTTCTGATCTGAAAGAGTTTAGTACCATTCAGTTTTCTATAACGTTGCTCAATTTACTTCCAAAGTTTTTGGGCAGACTCGGTGTACATAACACTTTCCCTAATTTCCGTCTCTAAACTGTTTAATATCCAAGCAGTCACCATATCATTACATTGACACCATGGTTCAAACGGAGGAGAGTTTTCATTTGGTTTAACGACCGTCCCATTAATAATTCCTAATTTATTTTTGCAGGATAAACCTAATAATATACTCATCCTCCAACCTCCATAACCCATGCCATTAAAGGATTCAGTCACCAATATTGTGCCAGAGGAGTCAGAAGGGTACATATATAAGGGATGAGACGGTTCGACAGTAGAAGAGGTGCCGAAAGAGTTGAAATTAGTAGAATCCCTAACAGATCCCATATTTCAACTATACTAAAGCAAATTCGGATTATGATTATCACACAAACAATCAGACAATAATTTCACCGAGACAAAATCACCCACACTAAATACAATCGAGCAAAAATTAGTGAAATTTCGACGAAAACCCACACAAGTGCACGGAAGCAGTAGCGAAAGATGAGAATGAAGAGAAATTACCAAACTTTGATAATAACTCTGTCACGACCCAACTGGAGGGTCATGACTAGCACCCGGGCCATACTTGCCGAGCACCAACGTACATTTTATCTAACCTTCCTTATTATCTTTAAGGGCCGACAAGATCAATATAAAT